ATGGCCCAGGGTGGACGGTGGCACCTCTCACTGACGTGGGCAAGGAGGAGAGGAGGGAGTCAGAACACGTAACCAGCAGAAGACACCGATGCTCGTGATTCCATGTGGAATTCTACCAGCTTGATCATTTATTCATTTATTATTTGTAAGTAAAATGAAAAGGCCAATTGTTGTGTATCTCCTGTTTCATTCTAGTAGGAAGAACACTTAAACGGAATCAAATCAAAGAACTTCTCAAAGTTCTTTACATGTCAATCTAAACAGCCTCTGTCTGCCACGTGGCCTTCACAGACATCACTCAGTCTCCACGTTCCCGTACGCCGGACTCCAGGAACAGGGGCACAAACACCAGTGCTCTGGACTGCAGCTTCACCGCCATCTGTAAGCTGTGCACCTGGGAGGCACCCGACCCCTCAGCAGGGAGGCGGCTCTGAGGAAGGGGAGGCCTCCATCACTCAGCTTACTGAGGTCTGACTGACAAACAAAAATTGTACGTGTTCATGTGGTTCTGTGTGACTTTCTCAGATGCACATCAAGATGGTTTAGTGTACACGCACGCTATAACGCTTACCACAGTCAAGTCAGTGAACAGCCCATCACCTCACATCGTAACCTCGTGCGTGGCAAGGACACCAGCTTCAGCAAATGTCAAGCATGTGACCGCCGCACTGCCCTGAGGTCCCCGGAGTTGGTTCTGCAAGTCCGTGCACTCTGACCAAGACCTGCCTCTTCCCGCCCACCCGGTCCCCCGTCCCATGAGTTAGAGGTTTCAGGTTCCACCTACGTGGGAGCACATGATACTGCCTCGCTGTGTCTCACTCATTTCAGAGACACCCACGTTTCAAATGGCAGCGTTTCCCTCTGCTCAGGCCTGGACAGGCCCCCACTTCCCGGAGCATGAGCGCGCGCACCGGTTTTCAGCGTCGCAGACCCGCTGGTGCTTCGGCTGCTTCATGTCTTGTCTACCGCGGAAACGCCCCAAACAAGATGGAGGCTCGACAGCTCTCGGACACAGGGGCTTCATCCTCGTTCAACTACGCGCCTCAAGCGGGAACGCCGGCTCAAGCGGCAGCTCCGCATCTTTCACTTAGGGGAGAAGCTCCACCTCCCCGTGCGGCTGCCGCAGCCGCCGACCCACCCACAGCGCGGGGGCCCTCTCCGCGCGCCTCGCCTGCTGTCTGGTCGCCCGTCCTCTGGAGCCCGTGACCCTCACGGAGTGCGGCGCCAGCTCTCTGGCCGCGACCAGCATCCCCCGGGAGGTGTGGGAGCACCTTCATGCACCTGGTGGCCATCTGAACGTCTTCTTGGGAAGCTGCCCTGGTCTTTAGGCCACTTTTTAATTGGGATGTTGGCAGAGTCTTCCTGGCCAGCGTCGGCCTCCCTCCCGCTTCTGCTCCCCAAAGCCAGGAGTCCGTGCGTGAGCTCTCTGCGAGCAGCCCCTGTGTGGCGCCCACCTCCTCCCTACTGTGGAGGAAGGACACCTCTGTCCCGCAGGCCTGGGCTGGCCCCAGGACGGCCACGGCCACACCCACCACGTTTGCTGGTGGGGACAGTGCCGCAGCTCCTCCTACGCCCCCTCACGTCCCGTGACTAGCTTCGGGCCGGGTGTTCTCAGCTTTCCTCTGACGCCACTGACAGTAACTAGCAGCACGTCTGACTTCCCAACAGCTCAATCCTCCATCAGGTCTATTCGCTAGGCACCTGGGGGTGGCCAGAGGGACTCATTAACCAAAGCTATTTTGTGTGGAGTCTCTGCTTGTTATCAGCCCCAGACAGATGATCAATAGGCCGGCCTGTTTAGAAACGCCAGTGTGAGGATCGGGAGGGCACAGGCGGATTATCAGCGCAGCTAATGAGCCCGCGACGGGCTGTGCTTCTGCCCGGGCGTGAGCTGCGCCCCTCGAGCGCAGAAACAGCCTTGGGGGTCTTCTCTGACTCTAGTTTGCAGCCGTTCCTCCCGCACTGTGCATTTCCCTGCCTTTGGGGGCCTAATTACAGTGCCCACGCGGCCCTCAAATCGCTCCCTGCTACCTTTCGGGGCTCTGGGCACTGCGGGCGACGCACCGCACCTTGCATGCTCACTGAGGGTGCCGGGGCTGAGCGCCGCAGCGGGGCCGGGGCGCAGGGAGCACGGCCAGCCCGGAGGTCACCCGTGCTCACCTACCGCAGCAGCACCCTGCTGTCGCTGGGCGGGCGCCGTCCACAGGGCGGCAGGTACGCTCTGGCTTCGTCCTCACTGGCCCCCCGGGGTGGGCAGTCGTGACTTCATGCTTCAGATAAGCCAAGGGAGGCTTCGGGTTGTCACATCATTTGCTCCGGGGAATGGAGCTAGAAGGTGTGGGGCTGGAAAAGCCCAGGGCAAACTCGCACTGTGACACCGCTGGAGGCTGCTCCCTCGTGCCATCCGTCTGTCTGTCCATCCACTCACCCACCCACCCACCAGCGGGCACTGGGAGACACCTCAGAGACAGGGAGTTCAGACACAGCCCTCTCTGAGCTGCTCTGGTTCAAGTGCGGGCCCCCTGGTGCCCACATCCCCAGACAGACACCAGAGTCAAGGCACTTGTGAGCAAATCCACAGCAGAGGCCCCAACGGGCCGCCTGGGTGTGGCGCCCTCACCCAGCACCCCAGGCCCTTACCATCTCCGCTCCTGCTTGGGTTGGTGGGTTCAGGGGTGCTCAGTGGTCTAAGGGGAATGATGATCTCATCCACGTTAACCCCTTCTTGCGCGTGCTTCTCAGAAACGTGGGAGAGGAGTTCCGCCTGATTTGGCGAGAAAAGGTTGCAGCATTTACACATGAAGATGGCCGTGTTTCCTGCCAAGAATGGAGAAAGCGCAACATGTCATTTCATCCTCACCAAAGGCAACGCGCACTTCCACGGACCGCACAGCAGGGCGGCCGACGGGCACCCGGGCCTCCTGTGTGCCCGGGACCTGGTCTGGACCTGGCGAAGCCGAACGGAACGGGGCGCCTGAAAACCAAACCCCACGTTCACCTGAGCGGACCGTGCTACCGTGGGGAGCGCAGGGAAGGTGGAGCCATGCTTCTTGGGAGCCCAGCACCCCCCACCCCCGTGGGCCCGGGGTGAGGAGCTGCGGGGCTTTGCTGCTTTTCAAGGCTCTTAATTCCTACCTAAAGCACATATTCCTAACAGTCCCTGTGTCCATCCCATCGTGCCAGGAAGGACGACACCATGGGGACAAGAAGCTCATTTTTGAGTCTGCTAAGGCCATGGCAGTCACACAGAGGAACATTAAAGGTAGGCTCCAGTAAAATTCAAACCTGGACTATGGTGATGGCACACGGATGACTCGGTGATGGGAAACCCACGGGGATTACAATTGAGATGAAAAAAAAGGTACAAAATGATGTAAAAATAAGCTGTTATATTATTTAAAAAAAATTCAAACCTGGATTTTGAGGAAGAATTTCACAACGGAAGAGACAACATGAAGCCAGACCCCCGCGAGGGCGCGCCAGGCCTGGACCCGGCAGGTAAGCCAGGGGCGGCAGCAGCACCCTGCGCCCCAGAACGGGCTTCTCCGCGGCCGAGCGCAGAGCAGCGGCCCGAGCGGACGCGTTCCGGCCCAGCACAGGGAAACAGACTTAACAAAGCTGGGCCCAGCTTCACGACGAGGCCTCTCCTGAACGCTCAGAGTCGATATTCTATTGTTCTTCATAAATGTGTTATCCCTGGACTACGGTCATCCAAGACGCCTCCCCAGCAAGATCACATCCTTTCTTTCTTTATGTGGGGCCGCGATGGCCGCAGCGGCCCAGGCAGGCGAGGAAGGGCGCCGAGAGGGGCCGGCACGCGGGTCAGCCGGCAGGAGCCGACAAGACGCGCTCACCGCCCAGGGCCCGGTTCGCCAGGCCTGTGCTAGGCGCCCACCCAAGGCCCCAGGGCCGCCAAGCCGAGCGCCCAACTGCTCCTCTCAGGCCCGTTCCCTCGGCGCCCACGAGCAGCAGCCACAGGGCAGGCACAGGGTCACAGAGCGGCCCTAGACAGGTCGGCCGCGCAGGGGCCCCACCTCATGGGACAGGAGCGCCCCGAACGAGTGCGCCCTCTCTGTGACTGCACGGTCTCGGCGGGCCCGGCGGACGGGGATGCGCGCGGCTGGGCAGACCGGGCCCGGCG